GTTTCCCGCGGGGCAGGGAGCCGGATGCGGGGTTCGATCCCAGGACCCCGGGACCATGACCCCAGGCGAAGGCAGACGCTTAACCCGACTGAACCATCCAGGCGCCCCCTAAGGGACTATTAGACATCCAATAAAAAGTGGGGGGTGGGCTGGGTATCCCTGCTTCCTGCAGCCACAATTCTGAGCCTGGAGACTTTGTCTTAGATCCAAAAAAAAAAAAAAAAATCCTTGCTTACTTGTCTTGTTTCCCTCCTAACTGAAGAGGGAGAGCAGACTCTGAGCCCCTGGTTTCCTGGTGATGACCAGGGGAAAAAGAGGATGGTCTCTCTTGGGCTCCTGTCTTCATCCTCCTTTTGCTAGTGGCGACAGTCTTGGCTTGGATTTGATTTTTCAGGGAAGCAAAGCATCCTGTCCATAGGGGAGTTTTGCCCTGCCGCACATTGGCTAAAAGAGTGGTTCTCCAGGTGAACGTGGGTTGGAATCTCCTGGAGGATTTGTTAAGACTGTTGGACTGCACTTACAGAGTTTCTGAGTCAATAGGTCTGGGGTATGGACCTAGAAATGTGCATTTCTAAGAAGTTCCTAGGTGCTGCTGCTGGGCTGGGGGACGGCCCTTTGAGAATCACTGGCCTGAACAATGAGCCTCAAGCAAGACTATGAGGAGCAACTCTGGCCAGACAGGAAAATGCAGAAAATCTCATCCAAGATCATGCACTTCGTGCTTCACTGGCACTGGTGCCTGCAATTTTTTCCGAGGAAGACTTTGTGACTTGATGATTTCCACTTGTAGAACCAGTTGAACTGGATATTTATTATCAGATATTTACTTGGACCAAAGAAACATAGTTAAGAACTCTGTAAAAAGAGAAGATGATGGCACCCTGCCTTCCCTGCAGGGGTAGTTCCCTTAAACCTGCTCTTCATGGATCTGTACCACTGACTCCTATTTGGACCAAAAGCAACACAAGCAAACGCATGGTCAGAACTCAGCCGTGGCCTCTTCCGGGCGGTCCCATCCCCCACCCCGCTCTCCCCAAGCTCTCTGCTTACACCTGATATCAGAGTCTTCTATTCAACCACTGAAGGTGGTTGCTAAGGCATATTGTTAATATAAATGAATTTCAAAATCAATGGCCAATGGTAGGTCCTAATGTTAAATTATTAGGTTATATTCATTGAAAAAAATGACAACAATGGGGAGAGTTGATGACAGCATCCAAAAAACTTTAACATAGTCTCAAGAAGACCAACACTGGTGTCTTTGGAGAAACATCCTTTGTGTCCCTGATGCTGCTCACCAGTGGCCTTTGCTTAGCACTGTCTCTCTGTGCAATTGTAATTAAAACCCAGGTGGCTGGTTTTGATCTTGAACTAGGATGGTCATTGCCAATAAGAGTTCCTGCGTAGGAGGAAAACTCATCATTCCCTAGCAGGACCTGCAGAAGGAGGATTTATATCCAGTGGATTCTGTATTTCAGTGGTGCTAAAAGTCACAATGCTTTGCACTGTAACATCCTGAAATCCAGATACACCTTAAGGTGGATGGCATTTTATAATCATGGCTGGCCAAGTGGGGGTCAAGATGTGTTGTCAGTGCCTGAACGTGCATACACTCAGTGGTTAATCCTGGTGGAATGACTTGGCAACTGTAATCTCCATGTTTCTGTCAACAAATCACCTAAGGACTGTCTGGAAAGGAAACGTGATGCCTATTGTCTGAAAACTTTCCCTTGCAACCTTCAGGTAAGATCGAGAACGTGCCAGCATCCAAATATGTACACCAGGTTTGGAAGCATTCAGGAGTGAAGTGGAATTAAAAAATGCTGCATCACCAATGCCTGGTAATTAACAAGAGGACACCAATGACTCAGCTGAAAAATGACTAAGAAAAAGAATAGAGGGGCGCCTGGGTGGCTCAGTTGGTTAAGCGACTGCCTTCGGCTCGGGTCATGATCCTGGAGTCCCGGGATTGAGTCCCATATCGGGCTCCTTGCTTGGCAGGGAGTCTGCTTCTCCCTCTGATCCTCCCCCCTCTCATGTGCTCTCTCTCATTCTCTCTCTCAAATAAATAAATAAAATCTTTAAAAAAAAAAAAAGAAAAATAGAGGTTCTGAGTGTGATTATAGGAATTCCTTAATAAGTTTATTGTGCTTATATTTTCCTTTTTATGTACACACAAGAGTGATATAAAATAAGCATGTCTAAGTCTAAAAGCGCTCATTCAATATATACTTAAAAAGTCTAAAAGATAAAAGACATTACAAAAAGTTTGGGGGCGCCTGGGTGGCTCAGTCGTTAAGCGTCTGCCTTCGGCTCAGGTCACCATCCCAGGGTCCTGGGATCGAGCCCCGCATCAGGCTCCCTGCTTAGCAGGGAGCCTACTTTTTCCTCTCCCACTCCCCCTGCTTGTGTTCCCTCTCTCGCTGTGTCTCTCTCTGTCAATAAAATCTTAAAAAAAAAAAAACCATTACAAAGAGTTTAATTGGGTACATCTTTTTTTCCAATAGCAGCTCTCAACCTTTTTGATCTGAGGACTCCTTTTATACTGGACATTGGGGATCCTAAAATTCTTTCCTTTATGTGGAAATATCAATCGATATTTATCATATTCAAAAATTTTTTTGAGACAGAGAGAGTGCACATGTTCGTGTGAGAGCGGGAGGGGCAGACGAAGAGGGAGAGAAATCTTAAACAGGCTCCATGCTCAGCGCTGAGCCCCATGTAGGGCTTGATCTTACCACCCTGAGATCACGACCTGAGCCCAAACCAAGAGTTGGATGCTTAACAGACTGAGCCACCCAGGCGCACCTCATATTCAAAATTTAAAGAGACTTTGGGTGCCTGGGTGGCTCAGTTGGTTAAGCGACCGCCTTCGGCTCAGGTCATGATCCTGGAGTCCCAGGATGGAGTCCCGCATCGGGCTTCCTGCTCGGCAGGGAGTCTGCTTCTCCCTCTGACCCTCCCCTCTCTCCTGTGCTCTCTCTCATTCTCTCTCTCTCAAATAAATAAAATCTTAAAAAAAAAATTTAAAGAGACTTTTAATACCATAGACTACACAAGCACAGATTCTTTTAGCTGCCAGAGAGATAATGATATCACCTAGCCTCTGAAAAGCTCCAATGTGCACTGGTGAGAGAATGAGATCCAAAGGGGCAGATCATGTTGCCGTGTTCACAGGAAGAGAGTTTTCACCTTGTGGATCCCCTGAAAGGGGAACCCACTTTGAGAATCACTGGTATATAAAATAATGGTGTATTTTACACCAGTAGAGTTAATACAGACATGTTTCCACCTTAAGTACTGGAAGGAGTAGAATGTGGAAAACTGGTGTTGGACAATTGGGAGTGCTGTGAGGCATGGAGAAATTAGCTGATTAAATGTCCTCTGTGGGGCTCCTGGGTGGCTCAGTTGGTTAAGCGACTGCCTTCGGCTCAGATCATGATCCTGGAGTCCCGGGATCGAGTCCCACGTCGGGCTCCCTGCTCAGCAGGGACTCTGCTTCTCCCTCTGATCCTCCCCGCTCTCATGCTCTCTCTGTCTCATTCTCTCTCTCAAATAAATAAATAAAAATCTTAAAAAAAAAAAATAAATGTCCTCTGTGGCGGTGAGGAATATTCCCCCTCCCATTGAAGTGGCCAGCTCACACTGGGTGTCCTGCAGGCCTGAGTCATCCCGACCTTAGGAGAAGGTACCCATGGATTTGGGTTCCAGGACTGTGGAACTGGCTGTCTAGGAGGAGGACAGAAGTTGGGACAGAGGAAAGAAGGAGTGTGGCTTGCTCCCCAGGGGAAGAGAGCTGGATTTTTCTGGAGACAAACAGAGGAGCTAGGGCATGCAGTTTCTGGAGATCTGGGGAGGCCTGCAAATGGCTGTGTGGGTATCTGCTGATGGACACTGGGGCGCGAGCCAGGGTTCCCCTGGACAGTCAGGCCTAGAGAGGGCAGTACCTGGGAGCTGCTGGCCTTCAGAACACCATGCGGGTTCGAGCAAGCAGAGGCTAGTGCCAGGCACCACGGTTTGCTGACCAGAAGCTCCTTCTGCCACTGCCACTGTCCTGACCTGGTAATCCTCAAACCCCTGCCCCAGTGTTGGCTTTAGAAACTACAGCAGCAAAATAGTCACCAGCAGGTCTGAGATCATCAGGCGTAAATTTGATTTCTAGCACTGTCTTACAGGCTGGGACGGCATTGTCAATAGAACCCACTTGGCAGGATTCCCCCCCCCCCCAACAGCAAGGAAGTGATGCGTGGAAGCTCCTCAAACAGTGCCTGGCGTATCATAAAAGCTGTACATATCATCTCTTGCACTTTGGATGTCCTGGAGATGTCATACCTGCCACACCGCGTCCTCCGAGTGTTGCTATGGCTAAAGTTTCGCCCTATGTTTAATTGAAGGCCGGATTAAAGCCCTAAGGCTGGAGTCCGGGGGACCGAGAGCATCCTGGAAATTGCAGAAGTGCTCTACTGAAGAGAGGGTGGCAGAGGCTGTGTGTGTGGGGGGGGGTGAGCCATCGAACCGGCCACTCCAGCCTGCAAGGTCTTCCTGCTCTAGCCCATGGCACTGGGTCCTGCCAAGCAAACCCTTACGGGCTTCAGAGGGACTGAGGGCTTTTCTTTCTTGAGTGTGAGCATGGGCGTCCCACGCAGGGCACAGCCAGATCAGTGCAAACTCCCTGAGAGTCCACAGGGGCCTGGATCCTCCGGGGTGGGGGTGGGGGGAGTCGTGGCGCCTGTGAGTCTGGGCGTGGGCAGGCACAGGCAGGCACCGGGCCGGGCCGTCAAGGCTTCTGCCACCTGCCGTAGCGGTAGCCGCGGTATCCAGACTTGCCTGGAGCTCTGTCCCCGATTCCGGACTGCCCCTCCTCCCACATGCGTCCCGCCCCTCGGGTGGGCGTGGCCTGCTCCTACCCTCGCCTTCCCCTCCAGGGGGCGGAGCTGGGGGAGGGGTCCACGAGCCAGTCACGTCCAACAGGCGGAGCGGAGCACTAGGGGGCCGGCTGGGGAGGCGCCACATCCGGCGGCTGACTCTTCGCGTGTAAAGCCGAGGCCGCTGCAGTCGGCGTCCAGCAGTAGCCCTGGGCTCTTCTCGGCTGCGGGAGCCGCTGCTCCAATGCCCCACAGCGGCCATGAGCATCCCACACTGGTGGGACCAGCTGCGGGCCGGCAGCTCGGAGGTGGATTGGTGCGAGGACAACTACACCATCGTGCCTGCCATCGCCGAGTTCTACAACACGGTGCGGGAGCGGGAGCGGGGATGGCAGGCGGGCTTGAGGGAGGGGACCGCCACTAATCGTGGCTGCGCCTGGAACCTGGACGTGTATTTGGGGTATGCTGTCTCCAGGGCCAGAGTCGATCCGCGCGCCCCCTCCTCTGCGCTCCTTCCAGCTCTCCATCTGTCCTTTTCTGTCCCTATCCCGACATCTGGGCTCATCCTCCCCTTGTCATTTCCGTCTGATGGCTCTATTGTCTTGTTTGACCGGCACCTGTCCCGAAGCCCGTGGTCCGTGTCAGCCCTTCGCCCAGGTGGGTGACTCAGGGGCTGGTGAACCCGCCGGGACAATTCCCTTCCTCCCCTAGGATCTCTGTGGCGTGACGCACTTGGGTCGCATTGTGCGGTTTCTCCCTGAATACCTGCTGGAGGGTGGGGGGGGGGGCGGGAGGAGGGAGTCCGCCGGCAGGTCTCAGGAGCAGGGCCCACTGCTGCCGTGCTGACTGGCCCCGCCCCACTAATACACCAATAATAGGTCGAGTTACTTTTGGCCAGAATCACATTAATTGCTACTAGTTCCTAGTTCTTTGCCTTTGGTTCCCAGGCTCAGTCCAGCCCCCAGGTCAACTCCCCCAGGCCTGTGCCCTCTCCAGTGATTAAGCCTGGGGAGTGAGCGGGAAGTTTGGGAGTGATTGTGTGCGTGTTCGTGGGCTTGCCTCGGTCCCTGCTACGGGCAGGCTGAGCCTTCCCCCCTGCAGTAGCCTGTGTGCTGTTAGTATTTATGGGAGGGAAAGCTTGATGCTCCAGGAAATGCCTCTTCTCGCTGTGCGGTGGCTCTGGGTTCCCAGACCAAATCGAAGACTCTGCATGGTCATTTCTGCGGCTGCCCAAACACACACACACAAAAACAGGAACTCCTGGTTTACAAGTCACTGTGAATTTGAGGTTGTTCTTTCGGATTTTCTCCTTGGAGATGCTGGAGAGAATATACTTGGCGTGAGTCCGTCTGGAGGGATCTCCCATGAGCTTGTCCCAGCCCTTTCATTCATTGATGATGAAACTGAACTGTAGAGAAGGGAACGGTCATACTCATGTTTCCGGCACAATCCAGAAGTCTGCACTGTCCCTCCTTCTGCCCTCACAAACGCTCCTGCTTCTTAATTAGGACCAGGTTAGTTCTTCAAGAAAGCCTGGCCCTCTGCTGTCTATAGATCCTGTGAAAGACTAGTGGAGGTGGCTACAGCTCACCTGTTGAACCCCTTCTTTCAGAGTTTACTCTTGGGGTAGATGGGGGCGGGGGGCACACAGGATGGGCTGGGGATGGCTGGGTACTTTCTGTAGCCGTACTTTCTCCTTTTATAAGGTGGAGAGTACTATTAAGGATTTCACCAGAGAGTTAAGGAACAAATGACAGGCTGGGGACAAGTTCTCACACACCCAGCAAGATAATGACCTGTGGAGACCGAGGCCAGCTGAGAGTCAGGCCTGGTTCCTTGGCCAGAAGTTCATTTAGAGCTGTTCTGTGCCTGTCTTGAAAAGCCCCAGAGTGCTGGATGAGGGGGGACACTTTATGTTGTTTTTACTTTTAATCTAGTCCTGTTGGAGCTGTTGTGGAGTGAGTGCCAAAGTCTTTTTTTAGAAACGAACTGTCGCTCTTCAGCTGCAGTGTCTGTGGGTGATGAGCCTGGTTGGTCCTCCTGACAGGCCTTATTCTTTGGAATATTCCTACAAACCACAAAATTTGCTTTAGCCCTGCAGAGAGCTTTAAACCTCAGAGTAGTAGTTGGTCACCTAACTTTGTTGAGTCTAGGTCCAAAGAGCTTAGCGAAAACGGTTTCCTTCTCTCTGTTTCCAAGCCCTACTTATTTCTGAAGCTTATCACAGGACAAACCCGTGCTTATCTCTCTCTTGTATTGAGGAAGACCGTGAACTATTACATGGTGATAAACAGCTCATTAAATCCTCGTAGGAAGGCCGCAGATCTAATTATCCATTTTAGAAACATCATTACTAATTTTGAGGGAAAGGTTAAGGAACTGAAGATAGAAAATCAGGGGAGAACTGGGAGCAGGATCTAGAACCTTCTTAACGGGTCTTGGGGCTAGCACATCACTACTACAACTTCAGTCACTACTGGCTACCATGAATTGTTTGCTAGGTGTTGAACCTCTGCTGCACGGTGTATAGTCACCCTCAGTGGTGGGCACTCACTATTAGATCCACTGGATAAAAGGAAGAAACCAGGGTCTGGTGAGATGATGCAATTTGCTGAGGTCAAGAAAATGGCAGAATTAGAGCTAGAACTCGGTCCATTTGACTCTACAAAGATACTCCTCCTGAAGATGCAAATGCCATATAGCTCCTTTTGACTTATTTATTCTGCGCAGCACAGATGTTTATGATTGAGCCATTCTTTAACTGGAAACTCCTGCATTGGGACCATATGAACTACAGGATAAAACTCATGATGTTGGATATGAAAAAGTTTGTTTAGTTTTTTGTTATAGTTGTTCTGTATTTTAAAATGTTCACCTTAAAAATAAGTTACTTTACCAGCAAACGTGGGTTTATTTCAGAAAAAGAAAACTGCCATTCAGGACAAGCAAGCTATAGGAAAGCCATAGGCAAGACCAACAAACAAAGGAGAGGAATGTTATCTTATGGAAAAGGCGGAAGTCGGGAGGGGTTGTTTTGAACTGGGGAGTTCAGGGTGATTGTTTCTCATTGGCTGAGTGGCAGGGGTAGTGAATTTCTTATGGGAAATACAAGGTACATCTTTCCCTGTTGGGGCCTGGGATAGACCATTGGTTCCTGTTGGGGAATCTTCTGTTAGGGGTCTGTAATTGGGAGCCTCCCCTTCTTGCATCCTGAGTCTCCTTCAGGGAGGTTTCCACTTACTAATTTTCACAAAGTAGCATGGTCATGGTAAAAAATTCAGAGCAGGCAAATTATAAAGTGAAAAATCTGTTTTTGTGTATCTTTTCAGACCTTTTTTCAGGCATTGTACAAAACACATGCATTTGTGAGTATATAAAATATGTATGTATAATGTATACCCACAATATCTAAGTTTTTATTTAACCCAGTTGAGATCATACTACACAAACTCCTCTTGATGTTTTCACTTAATAGATCTTAGAGATGGTCCTATATTGGCTCTGAGTTATCTTCCTCTTTACAATGTCTAATCAGTGTTCCATTTAATGGATTGACCGTGATTTATTCACCCACTCAGCCTCTTATTGATGGACACGTAGGGCAGTTTGTTTTATGCTTTCAATTTGGTTTCTGAGCAGTGATGCAATGAATATCCTTATATATGCATCTGGATGTACTTCTACAAGTACGAATCCTCTAGAGGGAATTGCTAGGACAAGGAGAGTGTTTACTTAAAGTCTGATAATTATTGCTAAATGGCCCACCAGAGAGAGTACCCTGGTTTATACACCCACTGACAGTGTTTGGGTGGACAAAGCATTTTGCTTTGGGGCCCTGCAAATCTCTATTGCCTCGAGACTTGTCATCATCCTTTGCTTCAGCCAAGCCCAGATCTCCCTTCCAAGAACATGTCATGTTCTTCCACCGCCTTTTGCTTCTGCACATTTTGTACTGTTTCTTCCACATATAAATTTTATTGACTTGAGTTCCTTTTTATGTTTTAAATTTCCAGGCTCTAGTCACACTGAAGAGAAGAACTCTAGAACGCACTGCTTTAGAGAAAAGTAGCTTCTGCTTTTTAACACTGGCTTAGCTTTTGGGGACTCTGTTGCTGGGCAGGGACTCAGGGGCTCAGGAGGAAATCCACTGGTGCTGAAAAAAAGTCTTGAAGCAAAATATATGCATAAAACCAGCCCATCATCTGTCGCCTTTCCCAAGGAGCTCTGCCACCCATCAAGATAAGGAAGGTAGTCCTGATATGCTAAAGCCCATGTCCCTGTAGGGCAGAATGACCTATATCCTGTCTCTGTTCATCTCTAGATCTATTTACTGGGCAGCTACTGTGTGCTTGTCACAGAGACCAGACCTGCAAACGGTCATCTCGGTGGTGACGGCCAGACCAGAGAGATGTACAAATTGGCAAGGGTATTATTAGTATTCTGCATGGGCTTGGTGTACTGTGGGGGAATTTCGCAAGAAGTCTTCAGAGTGGGGAGGCCAACTTGTCCTGGTTTGTCCAGGCTTTGCCCGATTTTGAAGCTGAAAGCCCCATGTCCTGGGGAACCTTCTTCAGTCCCAGGCCGGCCAGGACAGTTGGTCATCCCAGAGGCAGGAGGGGAGCAATGGAATGGAGGATTAGAAATCTGCATACAGTCAAGATGCACAGACCGCCTACCCAGCCAGGGGAATACCCCTTAGCTGTTTCTGAACCTCCTGTTCAGAAAATCTTACAGCCTGTTGCTTTGTCAGCATTTACCCTCTGCCTGGGAAAGTGCACACTCCCATGCATTGGGAGGAGATTGCTGTCTGTTCCTGAGATTATTTTGGTGTCATGTTATGGAGGAATTCGTGGAATGAGGAACTTTCTAAGGAAATAATTAATACATTTTAAAATCGCGGTTTCCTTTTAATTAAAAAAAAATCTGCTCTGCAGACATTAAGCAAATTAGTTCTCCAAAGCAATAGGCTTTAAAAAAAATACCCTTGGCTGAACTATTCAGCTTGAGTGACCCACACAATTGTTAGGGGAAGTTTCATTTCTCAGAAGAGATGGAGCCACTGAATGTGTGTTTTAACCAGGACTTGTTTGCTTATCTGTATTTCTTTCGGAGTTCCTTCCTCTTTTTGTCTTGGGGAGAGAGAATCTCCCTCTGATTTGGTCTTTCCCTTTCCATAGATGGAGGGCTTTAAAAAGACATGGTGAGCGCTGTGAATTGTGTAAGACTGTTTAATCACAGACCTGTACCTCCGAAACAAATAATACATTATATGTTAAAAAAAAAAAAAAAAAGGAGAAGATAGCAGGAAGGGAAGAATGAAGGGGGGGAATCGGAGGGGGAGACGAACCATGAGAGACTATGGACTCTGAGAAACAAACTGAGGGTTCTAGAGGGGAGGGGGTGGGGGGATGGGTTAGCCTGGTGATGGGTATTAAAGAGGGCATGTACTGAATGGAGCACTGGGTGTTATACGCAAACAATGAATCATGGAACACTACATCAAAAACTCATGATGTAATGTATGGTGACTAACATAACATACTTTAAAATAAATAAATAAATAAATAAAAGGCATGGTAGAGGCCGGCCATCATTGGTAGCAGGGCTACGGAGAGGCAATAAAGTGATTTCCCTGTTATCTGGGAGATGTTCAAATGGTGCTTCTAAGTTGGACTTCTTAATATGTGCATTAAGAAAAAAATGTTTGAAGTCCCATGACTTTCCCGCAGGTGTAATGAACTTCATGCCTTTGTGAGTAGGGTCTAAACATTTAAACGTGATTAACACAGAAACCAGCATTGCACCGTATGTTACCTAGAATTTAAATACAAATTTGAAAAGGAAAAAAAGTGAAGAACACAAGTCAACAGCTTGTTGGGAGTCGGCTTGGCAGGAGATGGTTGCGCTTGTAAGGGAGATTGCAAGGACTTGAGGCAATGAAGACGGGGTAAAAAGCAAACCCAGTCCTACCCCCCTAACTTTGTAGGAGGGGCTGTACATTGGGGCTCCTTCCCCTGGGGAGGGACTAGATAAACCGCTCGCATGTGTGGCACTTACAGCAAATGAGGTCAATCTATCTGAACTAGGGGGGAAAGGTTTGCGTAGCCTATTGTTGAAGGCAGAGCGATAATGTTATTATATGTGATATATACGTATTCACATAAATGCAAGGAAGATGACTCGAAGGCTGTGAATCTGAGGATAACCATTATCCCTCGGGAGGAGGATGGCAAGGAGACTTTAAAAAAATTACAGAATGAAACAGGAGAACACATTTATGTCTAAGAAAGGAGAAAGATCAGGTTTTGAGTTACCTCTGGTATAATAATTCCATTTTCCCTTCTCCCTTTCCTTCCTTCTCTGCTTAACAAAAGGAGCCACATTTAAATCACATCACAGGTGTGCAATGCGGGATAAGTCAGAATTTTTAGAGAACCAGTGAGGAGTTAAGCCAAGGAGGTCAGAGTGTGGCTGTGGGGGGGGGGCTTGGAGGGGAAAATCAGCTCTGGGCAGGGGAAACAGCTCAGTGTGGGTCACTGCTCTGTGGGTGATTGCCTCTTTGACCTCGGCCAGCCTGGGGAGCCCTTCTGGGTGCTCACGCATTGCCCCTTGTCAAACAAGGGATGGTCTTGACATGCTCTCATTTTTACTCCTGAAGATCTCTCGTCCTTTAAGTGATTCCTTGGGAGGTTAAAGGCTATGATAGTAATGACAACCGACAGCTTCCTGCTGACAAGGCACACGCATTGGCAGAGTGGTAGAGATACTAGAATCCCCGTACATGACTGGTGGGAAGGTAACGTGGTCCAGCCACTGTGGGAAACAGCTTGGTGGTTCCTCACTGAGTTAAACATGGAGTTTCCATTGGATCCAGCAATACCAGCTTGGGCATCCGCCCAGAAGAAAACAAATCCTCAAAAATGTGTATGTGAATGTTCATAGCAGCCCTGTTCACAACAATCCGTCGATGAGTGAACGGATGAACAGTGTGGTCTTCAGACGATGGAATATTATTTGGCCACAAAAAGGCAGGAAGTACTGTATGTACCACAATGTGGAGGAACTGCAGACCTGTTGTGCTAAGTGAAAGAAGCCAGACACAAAGGTCCTAGAGTGTGTGATTCTATTTTCATGACATACCCAGAATAGGTAAACTCAGACACAGAAAGCAGATTAGCAGTTGCCAGGGGCTGGGGGGGGGGGGGGGGGGAGGTGGGGGAGGGGGAGCAGAAAGTACCTGCTTAATGGGTATAGGATTTCTTTTTGAGGGTGATAAAAAGATTTTAGAACTAGACAGAGGTGGGGCGCCTGGGTGGCTCAGTCGTTAAGGGTCTGCCTTCGGCTCGGGTCATGATCCCAGGGTCCTGGGATTGAGCCCCGCATCGGGCTCCCTGCTCCACAGGAGGCCTGCTTCTTCCTCTCCCACTCCCCCTGCTTGTGTTCCCTCTCTGTGTCTCTCTGTCAAATAAATAAAATCTTTAAAAGTTATCAAAGAGGGGTGCCTCGGTGGCTCAGTCATTAAGCATCTGCCTTCGGCTCAGGTCATGATCCTGGAGTCCTGGGATCGAGCCCCGCATTGGGCTCCCTGCTCGGCGGGAAGCCTGCTTCTCCCTCTCCCATTCCCCCTGCTTGTGTTCCCTCTCTCGCTGTCTCTCTCTGTCAAATAAATAAATAAAATCTTTAAAAAAAAACACAACAAACTAGACAGAGGTGATGGTTGCATATTCTGAGGGCATTTAATGACATGGAATTGTATACTCTAAAATGGTTCATTTTGTGTGATGTGAATTTTCCCTTGATTTAAAAAAAATTGGGAAAACAAAAAGGGGAGCTGGCTGTGACCTCCTAAAAACAAAAAGACAAAATAAATAAATAAATAAAACCAAAAACTAGAGGGGAGGTTCCAGAGTTATGTGGGCCAGTATGGTCATCACTAGGCACCTGTAGTTGTTAAGCATGTGGAATACGGCTGGTTCAGATGGAGACAGGCTGTTAAGTATGAAGTTCACTCAGCTTTATGTGAACAACAGAATGGAAAATACCTCGTTAATGATATTTAAATAGTGATTAGGTGTTGAAATGACAGTAATTTGATTAGAGAAGATATATTTTTTTGAAAAGCCAACTGCCCCCCTCCCCCGCCCGATAACAGGCTTAAATCCACACTAAAATCTGAAAGTTTGATCTTTACCTAAAAATAGATTTGATTAGGGGAAGAAATTGACAAAGGGCAGACCCTGGAAGCATCCTGCCTTTGTGTGGGCGCTGGAGAAAAAAGCTGGCCTTGCTAGCAGAAAATTTTGGGGAGCTGGGATGTCTAGTACTCACCTCCATATTAAGCTTTATTTTTTTTTTTTACCATTACTTAGTGCGGGTCTTACCTTTAAAAATATATGTGCAAGTAGATCAAAATGCTTCACAGTTAGCCTTGTGCAGAAAAAGAAGATGATTCTTGGAATCCAGAGAGGGGGTTGGGCAGCTTTCATAGATTGATCATGGGAGCAGCTATTAAAATGCTGCAGAGCGATGGGAAGAATCCCCCAAATGGCCATAAAGAAGGCTTAAATTTCCCTGTATCTGCAGTTAAAAAAAAAGAGATGTAAGAGCTTAAACAAGACGTGTGGCCACATTCATCCCAGTTTGCAAAGCTCATATTTGGAACATGCTGCTTTATTTTTTTGCCCCTTAATATTCATCTTTTCATTTTCCACCCCCCCTCCCTCCCCCCAGATCAGCAACGTCTTATTTTTCGTTTTACCGCCCATCTGCATGTGTTTATTTCGCCAGTACGCAACATGCTTCAACAGTGGGATCTACCTAATATGGACGCTCTTAGTTGTAGTGGGTAAGTGGATTTGTGTTCGAGCAGGGGCTGAGAGGGAGGAAATGGAATTCTGCACACTTCCTGTCCTATTTGAACATGATGTTTTGTAAACCAAAGTCACTCTGACGTCTCAGCGAACTTTTATTTTTGCTTTGATGCCAGAAGGAGGACGCCTCTGGACATGGGCTGGACACCCGGGGTGACGCCAGCCATCACTTAATGGCACGGGAGGGCTTATTTCTCTAACAGCTGTTGGGGCTGTGCCAGCGCTGTTTTCTGAGGACTTCTGAAGAAAATCACACAAAAGCGATTGAGCTGATGAGACTTTAGTCTAGTGGATCAAAACGAGAAAAAAAATTTTTAGATGTTTGATCCTTCATTGTTCTGGGAAATGCTTGTATAATTTCCATTTCCTTCCACAGGCAGATTGGGAATTCTTAACAGTGAGAGAATGTTGACTTTTATTGAAAGCCTCTTCCCCCGAAGCCTCCTGGAGGACAGAGTGTTTAACTGGCATTATTCAAGCTCTGATGTGATCTTGGGTCCCTGCTTGCAATCCTCTTTCTAGGCTTCAAGGCTGCCTGTCTAGGTGGTGTGTGTTTCTTCCTTCAGCTTCTTTCAGTGAGAGTGTGATCTGGTGATTGTGACCGTGGTTGGTCGAATGGCTGGCCTTCAGCAGTGTGTTGGATTTGTGGGTCCGTTCTTCTGTGATGACCTTTTTTTAATTGGTTGTAATTGATTCTAGGAATTGGATCCGTCTACTTCCATGCAACCCTAAGTTTCTTGGGTCAGATGCTCGATGAACTTGCAATCCTTTGGGTTCTGATGTGTGCTCTGGCCATGTGGTTCCCCAGAAGGTACCTACCAAAGGTCTTTCGGAATGACAGGTAAGCTTGTGTTAAACAGTTTTGTATTTACTGCTGAGTGCAGCACCCAACATCTCCATGTATGTATCAGGAAAACAGCACACAATGGAGCCTCCCCTTATGATGAGCTTATCAGATACTTGTTTAATATCCACGGGTTGTTTATTCTTTTAGACCGTAAACTGACGAAAGAGGGAATTTTAATATGCTTGGCAAAGAATTTATAGGATATTAGGGGTAAACGGTCAAATGTCTCCCTTATAGGATATGAACAAAAGTGGAAAGATTTTCAGTGGCGGAGAAATTACTGAATGGTAGTTCAGAGACCTTTGATTTTCTGCTAGAACATTTCCTTGAGTCCAATCCAATTCTATCTACCATTTGATAAGTTTATAGTAAAATTCCATTAAGGAATTGGTTCTTGTAGCTGTAGATCCCATGATTGTCAAATGGTATTGGTTTTACCTCTGCTGAGATCTACACACACACACACACACCCCCTCCAAGCTAGAAATCCAGAATTTCAGGAAGGGATGCTTATATGGTTATTCATCCAGTAAATATTTTTTTGAACACTTACTATGCATTTTTTCCAGACACTGGGATATAGCACTAAACAAAACAATAGAGCCTCTGCCTTCAGTGAGCTCATACTGAAGTTGGGGAGGCTACAAATCAGTGAACAAACAAATAATACAATGTTAGGATAAGTGCTCTGATAAAAAAATGAAGCTGGAAAGGAGGTAGAGGTGACATAGGGTGCTCATTTGGAGTTAGGTCAGGGAAAGCCTTTCTGAGGAGCTGTATGAGGTTTGTTAATATCTGAAGGAGCCGAAGAGAGTCAACCTCATAAAGATGAGAAATGCTCCTAGAACATATGACCCATACATATTTCTCTGTAGGACACTGTGTTTTATATGGATCCATATATATATATATATGGATAAATAGTCTAAAAACATGGATTCAATCAAGCAAGCTGTGGGTACCCAGGGAAGAGCTGTACTAGGAAAATAAAGAATTCCTAGTGTTCCTGGTACTGTGAATAGGAATAGGAATTTTGGAGCTATTAAAGACAAAGGCTGTTCTCTATGGATGGAGGTGGGGAAGTGTCCATAAAACATGCTGGCTGCAAAGAGCACATGGTAGAACTGTGTGTGGGATAGCATAACTGTAGAATGAATTAACTAATCTCTTTTGGCGTCTAGGTCTTTGTGTGCACATAGAAATAACTAGAGGAGGGGCGCCTGGGTGGCTCAGTTGGTTAAGCGACTGCCTTCGGCTCAGGTCATGATCCTGGAGTCCCGGGATCGAGTCCTGCATCGGGCTCCCTGCTCAGCGGGGAGTCTGCTACTCCCTCTGCCCCTCCCCCCTCTCATGTACTCTCTCTCAAATAAATAAATAAAATCTTAAAAAAAAAATAACTAGAGGAGGAGGATAAACAGCCACTATCATTGGCTATTCTTAGGATGGGGCTCAGAGGGTTAAGCGTCTGCCTTTGGCTCAGGTCACGATCTCCAGGTCCTGGGATGGAGCCCCACATCGTGGGCTCCCTGCTCAGCAGGGAGTCTGCTTCTCCCTCTTCCTCTGCTCTCCCCACTGCTCCTACTCTCTCTCTCTTTCTGTATCTCTCTGTCTCAAATGAATAAATACAAAATTCTTAGCTGCAGGACCCCGAACCCACATGATCCTGCAGCAGCCCCTGGAACGAGGCCCCACAGGTTGGGCCCAGCGTGACCCACGGGCCGCGTCGGGGACGCCCCGAGCCTAGGACGTGAGCTCCCCTCTCCGAGGAGCTGTGCCCATGAGCACCAAGCAGCGCCTGGAGGAAGAGCAGGAGCCCTTTCGAAAACGGTTCCTTTCTGAAGAGAACGTGGCCACCCACTTCTCTCCACTCAGCCTGCACAATGACCACTCTTACTACAGCCTCCACTCAGGAGCCCTTGCTCTGAGCTGCTTCTCTCGCACCACCCTGGGAACCTGATCCCTGAGGCCCTCCAGCTGCTGAGGCTAGGGGACACCCCCACTCCCCACTACCCTGCAACCCAAGCTGGGGAGATAATGGAGCTCTGAGTGCTGGTGGGCAGTAGTTCTGTCCACCTTCCTTCTTCCCCACAACAGAGAAGACCAGCATCCCCACTAAGGGACCAGCTGTCCTGAATATTCTCCAGACCAGGCCTCTGGGCCCCAGGACCTACTCTCAACAGAGGAGGACACTGACTCCCACAGAGCCTTGGGGTGGGGGGAGCAGGAGGCACAGGAGCATGGGAAGGGAGGCATCCCCCCCAGAACTGAATAAAGATTGCTGAGCATATGAAAAAAAAATTCTTAAAAAAAAAAAAAGGAATGGGGGAGGGAGTGGGGGAGAGAACTTTCACTTTTACCTTTAATTTATACTGTTGTGCAGTTTTTTTTAAACAAAGAGCACATGTTACTTTTTAATAATAACACATTTTTCAGTGAAGTAGGGAGAAAACATACTTCAGATGAACTAGCTGTACTATCTTCATTGTACAGAGCAGGATTTGAATTAAAGTGTTTTCTTTGACTATCGTCGAGCAGATAAAGGATCCTCAAGGTTACTTATCCAAAAAATGAGCGTGAGAGAGCCAGCAGTTGACGAGAGGTGACAAGAAGGGCATTCCTGGCTTCAGGAGAAATACAGCCTCCGTTGGCTGTGGCCTTCTCAGTGGAGGAAGGAGGCTTCAGCGTGTGGCAGGTTGGCTGGGGCGGTTTGGTGTCTAGTCTTGTGCTCGCTTGTCCGGCTTCGGGAGAATGACTGGGGGTGCTTAGAAAGCCTCGTGAGGTGGAGAAGGGGGGCAGCGCCAGGCAAGTCAGGAGGGCCTTCGCAGGAGGGGCTTTCGGGCTCTGGCTGAGAAACATCGTTTACCTTTGGCCTTTCCTGTCGAGTCAGAGGGTGGCCACCAGTCACCTCCATCCCTGCCCGAGCCTGGTGGGTGGGAGGTGGAGAGCTGAGGAATCTCTTTGCTCTTAGATCTGATCTTTCTTTTTTTTTTTTTTTTTTTTTTAAGATTTTTTATTTATTTGACAGAGAGAGAGACAGTGAGAGAGGGAACACAAGCAGGGGGAGTGGGAGAGGGAGAAGCAGGCTTCCCGCCGAGCAGGGAGCCCGATGTGGGGCTCGATCCCAGGACCCTGGGATCATGACCTGAGCCGAAGGCAGACGCTTAACGACTGAGCCACCCAGGCGCCCCTTAGATCTGATCTTTCAAGTCCTGGGGGCTGAGTGAGAAGCCTCACACAGAAGAATGGTTTTGTTCGTGGCACTCTGGAGGTGCCACTTGAAATTCCAAGCGACAGTTTGGTGTGTGTTCATAGTAGAGAATCTTTTTCTTTTTCATTTCTTTTTTTTTTTTTTTAAGTAGGCTCCGCACCCAGTGTGGAGCCCAACACAGGGCTCGAACTCATGACCCCGAGATCCAGACCTGAGCTGAGATCAAGATTTGGATGCTTAACCACAAACTGAGCCACACAGGCCGCCCCTGTCTTTTTGATTTCTTGACAGGAGGGGTGAGGGAATGTTATGAGCAGGAGAAAAGAAAATGGGGCAATGGATGTAGTTATAAAGCTTACCAACTTTAATAATGAAACCGTACCGTGGGACAGAGAGGTGACCACTTGGGACTTTTTTTATTGCCGGCACCATTTCTCTGGGAAGACGTGACCACACTGTCTTCAGCTTGGAGAGAGTCCTTCGGAGCCCTGAGCACCACAGATGTCCATGTCCCTGGTTTTGGAGACTCCCTGGGTTTGAATCCTAGGTTCCCTGCTTACAAACGGTGTGGCTCGTCTTGACTCTTTCATTTTCTGTTTCGTCATTTGTCAAATTAGGTAAATAATCCTCTCGAGAGGATCCTGCAGCACACTGTAGAGTATCAGAAACATGGCGAGTGCTCAGAGTTCGCTTCCAGTACTGCCAATGACACATGGAGATTTCTGCCTGGCATTTCTGAGACGTGCGCGCGCACACACACACACTGAAGGGGAGAATGGGAATGGGAGATGCGAATGAAGATAAGGCATATGTTATGGGAAAGTAGCACACTATAAATAAGGATTTCAACTCTGTTCGTCCGCCTTCAACTTGCCAGTGACAAGGAGAACAAGACGACAAAACCCCTTTTTGTGGGCCTCACTGCCCCGGACGGGGACAGGTGCAGCTCTGAGTCCAAGTGGCAGCCAGAACAAAAACTTCATGTCAAAACAGGGATTTCTCTAGACCAGGGATCATGTGGTTTACCTATCCAAGTTAACATCTCTTTTTGTGATCTAGACTTTGCTGGAATATTTCTAAAAACACATTAAAGTAGTTCCAGTGTGAGATTTCTGGAGGAGGGGCAACAGAGCGTGGTGGCTAAGTGTATCAGACGGACATGGCTTTGGGTGATAGGGTTTGTTTTTTTTTTTTAAAAGCTCTGGTACCTCATTTAGCTCATCTGTAAACTGCAGATATTAAGGGTACCTTATGGGGTTGGAAATATAGGGGGAAATCCTAGAAGTTGTACAGTGTCTTGTGCAGAGTAAGGACTCAGTAAGGGCTAGCAGTTGTTAAGAATGGCTAATATGGATAAGTGTTTTGAAGAATGTCTAGAACAGCAGGGAAATTATTAAATTTTACCGTATAAATAGGAATAATTGGCAAGTCAAAAAAAAAAAAAAGCATTTTATCTTGCCTAGAATGTCCTAAGAATCATACACTCAGTTGTTGATGGTTAATAATTTCTAGACATTTTTGTTTTGAGAAAAAAAAAAACCCCAAGAACAAAGAACTATGATGGACTAATTATTTCCATTTCTTAAAGATTTATCCTGCTGTGATTTTTATGATTTTGCCCTCACTTTATAATCCAATTCAGGTTTTGAATCCTGAGTTACCAGGCTGGGGTCTGGCCATCCTGCTCTAGCTGGATGACTGGGGCCCAGGGCCTTAGACTCTCTGGGCCTTATCAGTTCCTTACTTAGAAAAGGACATGGGTGGACCTTCCGGGACCAGATGCTGTAATCCTGTGACTATCATGGGCTAGTTGTTCTACATAGGTTATGTTTTAGTCCTAAAGGGTGGTTTAAAGCAGTGGATCCTAACCAGGGTGTCCCTTGAGGGAAGTTTGTGGACAGGTTTTTGATGGTTATCATGAAGGAGGTTTTATCATCCATAAAAGCCATCTCACTTCGGAGGAGTAAAGGGGGCGTTACCAGGTATTTGCTATAGAAAAGGAGCACAGGGTCTGGCAGGGTTCAAACCTCTGCTCTAATGGGTGGCTAATGGTAACAGCAGTAGCAGCTTTGTTACGTTATGTTGATGGTGTTGGGCTGTTTTGATTAGGGGGAATTGAGGAGGATGGGGTGATCGGGGTTCCCTGACCTCATGTTCCAGTTTGAGCCCATAATGGGCTGGGAAGTGGAGAACACGACCAGAGACCAGGGGTTGCCTGGTGTCATGGATAAGACAACACTCTGTCAGAACCCTGCGCTCCTGGACATGGCCAGCTCTCTTGTCCCCAGGACCTCTGGTGACCCTGGGGTCGGCCGGTCTGGCTCTGTGACTTGTGTGGACTTCTTCGGGCTGAGGTTTTGTCTGCTCAGCCACCTTCCTGAAGCGCATTCCTCCACACCCTCTGGACTGACATGGGCGGCGTCTGCCTCTGTTCTCCTTAAAGCGAGTTTCTTCAGGCTTGCTGCCTTTGAACTGTTTGGTAATGCCCTCCGGAGCCTTTGGGGATTGCCACACCAGCCCCGTCAGGTTTTCCCTGAGAGCAGCTATTATTCACAATAACTTTTTTTTTTTAAAGATTTATTTGAGAGAGCGAGAGTGAGAGAGAGAGAGAGAGAGAGAGTACATGAGAGGGGGGAGGGTTAGGAGAAGCAGGCTCCCCGCCGAGCAGGGAGCCCGATGTGGGACTCAATCCCGGGACTCCAGGATCATGACCTGAGCCGAAGGCAGTCGCTTAACCAACTGTGCCACCCAGGCGCCCCACACAATAACATTATTTAAAATAGCACTTATTCTCACACAAAGGGAATGATAACAGTAATAGTGGATTTTTATTAGCACAGAACCATGTACCAGGCACCATGTTAAGTGCTTTGATGCTTATAGGAACACCATGGGGTAGGGGGTCTTCATTTTCATATGGGAAACGTGAGGCTTGGAGGGTTTCGGGACTTGACAAAAGGTCCCACAGCTACTGAGTGATGGAAGCAGCAAGTGAGCACACATCTGTCACCTGGAAGACCTGTGCTTACAACACTCTTGCCCTAACTCCCGAACCATTGAGCTAGAGAAGTAATGCAATTTGCAAGTTTTCTTTTTTCTTTCTTTTTTTTTTTTTTTAACTGTTCATCCAATCTAAAAAGGCTGAAAAGCCTTGGTACAGGTCATAGCACCTCAAAACCCAGTAAAGGAGTTATTGTGGGTCCCCAAGGGCCATTTGCATGATGGGGGTAGAAGAGGGGAGCTGCGGGCCGTCCACCTCGGGCTGGAGCAGGCAGGCTTTCCTCCAGTGGCAAGGGTTGCCAGCCAAGGCCAGGAGGAAAACAGTTCTCCTGAGGATTTGCTGCCTGGACCCTTTCCCGCATATGTATTTTTTCTCTGGTTGAAGCTCAGGGCTACACTTCCTGTTCATTCCAGTCAGAAAGTTGGCAGCTCGATCAATGATTTCCTGCACCTTGATGATAAATGGTTTTCCTCTTTAAGAGAGAAATTTGTATTTTGGAGATTTCAGTGTACTTTGATTTCTCTATAATGGAATTTCATTCAGATGAGTTTCCCAACTGTGACCTGTTCCGGGGATTTTGGCCAAGGTAAATTGTGCTAATGAGGAATAAAAGAAACTTCAGGAAAATCATGTGCTCCTAAATTTCAGTCATGGATGAGGCCTTGGGGATCATCTAGTCCAGCCTTTTCACTTTATAGATAAGGAAATGGAATCCCAGGGAGAGAAGAAGGAGCATGTCCAGGATCACGTCGCCACTTCTGACTCTTTCTCCTGAAAGTACATCCACTGAAGGGTGTGAGGATGGTATTTTTCTTGTTTCTTTTTTCTACAGATTTTATTTATTTGAGAGAGAGAGAGAGAGAAGGCGAGAGCGCGCACATGTTTGTGTGGCACGAGTGGGGGGAAGGGCAGAGGAGGAGGGAGAGGGGACAAGCAGGCTCCCTACTGAGCACGGAGCCTGATGTGGGGCTCCATCTCATGACCCTGAGATCCTGACCTGAGCTGAAATCAAGAGTTGGCTGCTTAACTGACTGAGCCACCCAGGTGCCCTGAGGATGGTATTTTTCTAAGATGGGTCATGTCAAAAACTTGTCAACACAAAATTCCAATGCACGCTAGTCTGAGTTGCTGGTAAATAGACAGTCTTAGAATTTATTCTTAAGGCTTTTAGCTGTATGTGCTAGACACAGATTTTTTTTTTTAAGATTTTATTTGACAGAGAGAGCACAAGCAAGGGAGGTGGCAGGTAGAGGGAGAAGGAGAAGCAGGCTCCCTGCTGAGCAGCGAGCAAGACGTGGGACTCTATCCCAGGACCCTGGGATCATGACCTGAGCCAAAGGCAGCCACTTAACTGACTGAGCCACCCAGGCACCCCAGATTTTTTCTTTTAAGCTAAGGAGCTTTGTGGTTTGTAAATGGTCCCTATTTTTCTTATAAAAGTCTTCCACGCTCACCTTGTAGAACAGGGGTTAGCAAGCTGGGTCCTGTGAGCCAGCTGGGTCCACTGCCTGTTTTTGCAAATCAAGTTTTATTGGTGTACAGCCACGCCCATTCCCTTACCGCTTGTCTACAGGGGCAGACTTAGGGAGCTGCGGAGGTCCTAGGACCTGCAAAACCCAAAGCATTTGCACTCTCACCCTTTACAGAAAAAGTTTGCTAGACCCTGCTGTAAAACATCTGAAAAAAGTATAGAAAAAAGTAACACTAAGAAAACAGTTATCCATATCTGACCCTCGGGGACTGAGATGGATTCTCATTTTACCATTCTCCTGGCTAAATGTTTGTCAAATTTCCGGTTATTGCCTAAGCATAAATTGCTAGAAGTAGAATTCCTGAGCCCGTGAGCGTGAGTGGGTTTGAGACTCCGGGTACTCGATGCACAACTCCTCAGCTCGCACACTCGTCTGCAGTTCCTGTACTTTGTCGGCATTCACCAAACAAACAAGAGCTCCTTGGCTAACAGTTCGGTTTGCTTTCATTGATTCAGGGGCAGGTTCAAGGCGGTGGTCTGTGTCCTTTCTGCCGTCACGACATGCCTGGCGTTTGTCAAGCCCGCCATCAACAACATCTCTCTGATGACCCTCGGGGTTCCTTGCACTGTGCTGCTCATTGCAGAGCTAAGAAGGTGGGTGCCTTCGTTTTTCCCGCCTGCCCCTTAGGCTGTCCCTGGGTTGGGAACACACCAGCTTCTGTTTTTTTTTTTTTTAAGATTTATTAGAGAGAGAGCACGAACAGGGAGAGGGGCAGAGAGAGAGGGAGAATCTCAGGCCGAATCCCCGCTGAGCGCAGAGCCCAACACGGGGCTTGATCCCACGATCCTGAGATCATGACCTGAGCTGAAACCAAGAGTCGGTTGCTTAACCGACTGAGCCACCCAGGCTCCCGGCTTGTTTTTTTTTTTTTTTACTGCCCTCAAGTGTGGAAGCGGAGTTTGACTCTTCACGTAGAGTTAGTTCCTGACTGTTGGATTGGAAGCACGTTTGATGGTTTGGCTCAAAATGTTAATGATCTCACTTCCAGAAAGAGGGGAGCGGCTGGTTAGTGGATGCAGTGCATCCCAGTGATCTGAAGCTAGCTTAGCAGGAACATCTCAAGGACCTGGTGAGTGCCTAGACCGGCCTGGGAGACTTAATTCTGTACAAAGAATAGATTTGTTCATATGAGAAGAAGAAGAAAAGTCCTAATGAGGCTATTGCATTCACACACAGAAGGAAAAACAAACGTCTCTATACAAGGCAACATTGACTCTAGGCATAATACTGTTGACTATGCTAGTCTCTCGGACACTTCGTTTCTTATTTGCAACCTATCCGGTAAAGCCTTTGCTATTTGCCTAAGGATTTTCCTTTGGAAAGTTCTATACTCAGGTTCAGGTTGATATCTAGAAACAGTTTAGCCTTGTGTGTACATGACTTCTTCTTTAACCCCAAAATACATGAGACCACCGCCCTTATTGTAGTACTCAGAAAATGCTTTTTCTTTGTACCCATCTTTAGCAGTGCATTTTAATTCCTGACTTTCTCATTGTTACGGACATGGTATTCAACTGAAGTCTCAGATCTCTCTTCCTTTGTGTGAGAGTTGCCGCTGTGTGTAGTGTGTGGACAGCTTTCTCTCAGTCTTTGTTTTGAGAGGAGATACATGGTTCTTCCCACTGCTTTGCCTCTGGGGGCTGCTTACAATGTCGGCCAGACCAGGCAGGGTCAAAGGTGATTGAAGAAGTATTTAAAAATACTGGTTGACAGATGAAGGATGCTGTCCGGTCTTGTCTTGTTGGCTTTCCTCAGTAGCCTTGAAGGAGTGGAAAAATAAGAGGCTGGTTTCAGAACGCTAATAGGATTTTGAAGCTCTTTGGAAAACACACAAAGTGCCAATAAAGAGATCTGAAATGAATTTGTAATAGTCCAGCGGTACTGGCTTATATTTGGCCTGAATTGAATAGAATGTGCAGAACCTAGGTATGTTTCTGGAGAATTCATTGCAGTCTAGTTCATTTTAACTCTTGATACTATGTTTTAGCCGAAAATTTTGTTAGAAAGTAGCTTAAGGAAAGGGAAAATATTTTTAACTCCTATTTAAACAAGAACAAATGAAGGAAGACAGTGGCTAGGGCAGATTGCGGTTTAAATAAATTCTGCTTCAAGAGTATGACCTTTAAGCAGGGAAACATTTTCCTTTTTTTTTATTTTTTAAGATTTTATTTATTTAAGAGAGAGAAAGCACACAAGCAGCGGGGAGGGGCAGAGGGAGAAGCAGACTCCCCGCTGAGCTGGGAGCCCAGCGCAGGACTTGAGCCCAGCACCCTGGGATCATGACCTGGGATCATGACCTCCATTGCTCAAAGCACCATTTACCCATTTGCTCAAAGCAGAGCAGAAGCCTGCTCCCTCTTTCTTCCCTGAACATCCCATCTCATCACTTTCATTTTTCCATTAGTTGACATTAAAATTGACATCAAGTTCAATATCCTCAATATGGCCCCTATGTGCCTCTAATAGTCTCTTTTTTTAGCTGACCTTGCAATTAGGATGAAGTTCAAAATCCTAACATGGCCCCCACCTGCTGATCTGGCCTGCACGAAGCTCCCCCCTTACATTCTGTCCTCTAGCTGTTCTGACCTTCCCTATCCCCCAGGTCCTTGTTCATGCTGTCCCATCCTCTGACTCTCCTGCTTGGCTTACTTCTGGCTCATCGTTGACTCACCTGTTTGGCTCAATTGTTCATAGCACCACCAACTTCTTTCTGGCACCCTTCCCAAATGTAATTAAATTATTCGTGCTGGTTTTTTGTTTAGTGTCTGTCCCTTCTCTTGATGTAGACTCCATGGACAGGAACAAGGCCCCTATGTTCACTACTGTGTCCCAGTTCCCCCCGAGTCCCAACAAGGAGAGAGAAGATGGTTGTTGGCCTGCCTTGATAAAATTCCCAGACAGGGGATGCCCTTACTGCTCTTTGCATTTCCTTCCAGGACCTTCCCTGCTGACATTAGCGATAATCTGTAATGTAGCAGCTCAATATTTCTCGTCCATCCTCCCTCTGCTCAAAGGAGCTAGGGAAGCTTTCTGTTTCTCATTAGCCTTGTTGCTAGAGCTTGTTTCTAGTTTTTTATTTTCATTGTCCTTTCTGAACTTTCTCTCAGACCATGTGGCAACAACATTTTATTTGGGATTATAAGCAGACATTTACTGAAATTTGTGTTGTCATATTATGAAGTGACTCAGCTGCATTTAATATATTTTAAAGTAGGTGCTTCCCCCCCCCCCCCCCGATTATAGGAGTGAGTCTGTTAAGGACAACTTTGAGAATACAACAAAGGGTTAAGAAGAGGAGAACAGATAGCAGCTCAGATTTTTTTTATCCTATAATAGGATCCTGTTGTATATATCACTTTTGATCTGCTTTTTTCATTTAATCTCACGTTGATATTTTGGTAGGAGCCCTAAAAAGTGTGAATAAAACCCAAAGGAGCCCAGGTATGGGCAAGACCCAGGTGCAGATAGGCCTGGTCAGCAGCAGGTAGCAGGCCCTGTCCCTCTAGCAACAGAGGAAAGGACAGTACCAGGCCTCCGTGAGACCCTGACTTTGCAGGGCTTTCCCCCCACGTGACTCATCCCTGGCAAGAGAGACAGAATGCCACTCAACACAAGCTCTGTCTCTCCAGCATGCTGTGTTCTGGGGTGTTCCTTAAGCCAAGGTTTCTAGGTTGAATTGAGTGTACATGGGTTCTCTTGTACCAAATTGTCTATAGTTGTTGACACTTGTTTTTGTCTGTTTTCATTTTATCTTTTAAAATAGCAAGGCAAGAGCCCTTTTCATTTTGCCTTTCACAGTGCCTAGCATGCATTCAGAGAATTTGGTACCCAATCAACGTGGGTACTGTTTAAAAAAAAAAAAAAATCTGGGAAAAAATGTGCTCCTTAGATCACTGGCATCCAGTTAACATTTTCCTTTACTTCCTTGTTTTATTTATTCATTCAGCTAGCATTTATTTCATGCCTCTTCTGGGTCATACACTGTCTATACTTGGTGAAAAGCAGGTAGAGTTCTTACTCTCGCTGAGCTTACTGTCTACTCGGATATTAGACCTTCCACAAATAATTACACCAGTGAAGACAGTGTCAGTTTGTGTTGAGTGTTAGGAAGGAAAATGGCAGGCACTCCCAGGGCGGACGACGTAGTAGGGGTGGGGGCTGTCAGAGAAAGTCTATTTGAGAAGGCGCCCTGGAAGCTGAGACCTGAGGAGGCAGAGAAAGTGGAGCTGAGAGGGAGGAGGAGCCTCTGTGAGGGCGAGCCATTCAACAGAGCTAAGTAGGAATTTAGTGTCTCCAGTCCTGGGCCGCTGTTGTTTCAAAAAGTTTTTTTCAAGGACTACATTTAGCTCTCCTCCAAAAGGGTATTTGTTTTTTTGAGTAGGCCTTTCTGAACCTTCTGCGCATCCTGGTTTCGCTGATGCCTCCTCAGGCGGCTGGGAAAGGTACCAACCAGTCAGGTTTCTGACACGTGTACAACAAATATGAACAAATAGCTGTGGCCCCTTCTCGGGGGCAGATGTTACGTTGGACTCTGGGTCCCGAGAGCGAGCTTGACTGACCTGGGAGTGGTCCGTGGAGGGAAGGAGACCCTGAGGGAGGGAGGGCCGGGAAGGACCCTCAGCCACCAGCTACCTCTGGGCCTTCCCCGCCTAGGACTGGAAGTCACCCCCTCCCCCCTTTATGAACGATTCAGGAACAAGGAAAGGAAATGGCAATGGAAATTTCTCTGGGCTGTTAACTGAAAAACATTTTGTCCCGGCATATGTGGGAGCTCTTTCTTTCATTCACGGGAATGAATGTGGGAGCCTTCTGTATGTCCCCTCCTGTTCCAGGGGAAGACCAACCGTCAACAAGGAAAACATGGAGGATGCTAGAGGGGTTATAATCCCTACAGAGAAATTAGAGAAGAAGGAAATGGTGGGGGGAGCGTCACTTAGGGGGTGGAGACCCATGGTGCAATTGTTAACAGTGGTCAGGAAAGGGTTTACTGAGGGACATTTGAGTAGAGATTCGGGAGTCAGTAAACCAGGTGGTTATGCGAGGAAGAGCATTCCAGGTGGCAGGAATAGCCAGTGCTAAGGTCTGGGGAACTTGATGGGGCTATTTGAGGAGCGCAGGGATCCTTGGGGGGCGGGGAGTTGATGAGCAGAGGCAGCGAGGGGCAGAGTATGTAGGAGAACAGGAGTTCATCATGGACATGTTAAATTTAGGTCTGTGTTACACATGGGTGGATATGTCCAGAAGGTAGCTGCGTATGTGAGTCTCGAGTCAGGGAGAGGCCTGGGTGAGAACACGGCTTTGGGAGTCATCTGTGTATGTACGTATGGTATCTACATTCACAGGCTTGTGGGGTGACAGGATGTTGGGTGGGACCTCCAGGGCCGAGGGGCTGGGGGTCTGGGGTGGGGCGGTGTGAGGAGCCAGAAGGGGCCAGCAAGGTGGGTGACAACCCAGACTGAGGGTGACTTGCTTTCTGGATCCCTGTGTAGGTGTGACAACGTGCGTGTCTTCAAGCTGGGCCTTTTCTCGGGCCTCTGGTGGACCCTGGCGCTCTTCTGCTGGATCAGTGACCGAGCCTTCTGTGAGCTGCTTTCGTCCTTCCACTTTCCCTACCTGCACTGTGTATGGTAAGCCCCGGCCACCGGACAGGGGTCTGCACCGCGTATGGTAAGCCCCGGCCACCGCACAGGGGTCCGTACCTGCTGTTCTTTTCCCTGCACGGTGCGGCGGGTGTGCAAGAGGATGGAGCACGGCCTGGGTGCACCTCTCTCCTCACAGAGATGGTCAGACCTTCCGGAAGCAATGGAAGGTATTGTCAAACACAGCATCCGCTCCAGGGAGCAGGCTCAGCCGGAACAAAAAGACCTGTTGTGTGTGCCTCGAGTCTGCGGTCTCTTACCTCTAGCTCCATTACTAAAGCATAAAGGAGCTTGAAAACCAAGTCCGTAACCTGAGCTCTAGTTAGATCGCCCAGGGTCGGGTGGGGGTGGGGAAAGCTTGGGACAGAGGTGATGTGGGGACTGGGATGCCCAAGTGACCAGGTGAAGGCATCACAGGCCAACTGGGGACAGTCTCACCCATTCACTTTACAGGTAGGGACAGATGCCCAGAGAAGGGAATTCATTGTTCAGGATCACTCCCCTGGGAGTTGAGTCATTGGAAACTGGAGCAGCTATGCGTTGGCATGCTCAGGATACGCGGTTAAAGAAAAAAAAAAAAAAGCAGTTTATTAAACAGCATGCAGACTCCTATAGTCAGAACGCCAAGGAGGAAGTCGAGTGGTTTTTTCCTATGAACTGCTTCAGCACCCAACCCAGAGCCCTGTTTCCCTGTCCCCCAGAACTTCTGATTGCAAAAGAGAACAGGGACCTAGGGAAGTCTGCTTTAGACTGTCCCTTGTAAATTGAGAGCCCCCAGGGAGAATTATAGTGGTAAGGAGCTGGGAAAACTTTATTAGATCCAAGATTCAGAAGTTTGACTTCTATCAGGAGATGCCTAAAACTCTAGGGTTTGAAAGAACTCGTGTGAATTTCCTTGAACATGGGAACTTGTATAGATCTAGCATGAGACCCGACTTGCTCTCAGTTTAAGGCCTGGGGACTCCCAGGACTGTTTGCAAAAGACAGAACAAAGGAAAACAGCACAAACTGGAGATTCCAGTCTGAGGGTCCTTTTCCTGGTATTTTTTTAGGTTCAACCTCGACTCACACTAGTGGATTTATGCACTGTAAATTTGAGTTATAATGGAGATAATAAAATGCAGATTTTAAGTGTACACTTTGATGAGTTTTGATAAATGTATACACATGTGTAAATATGACCTCATTCAAGGTAAAGTACATATTTTTATCAATCTAAGTATCTTGGTAACGTTAGCTATTTAAGCAAAATTCAAAAATTAGATTGTAATAACTTTGGCTCAGACTTGAATTTGTTTCTAGGTTTGGTGTACTTCCTGCTTTTTCTTTTTTTTTTTTTTTAAAGATTTTATTTATTTATTTGACAGAGAGAGACACAGCGAGAGAGGGAACACAAGCAAGGGGAGTGGGAGAGGGAGAAGCAGGCTTCCTGCAGAGGAGGGAGCCCGATGCGGGGCTCGATCCCAGAATCCTGGGATCATGACCTAAGCCGAAGGCAGACGCTTAACGACTGAGCCACCCAGGCGCCCCGTACTTCCTGCTTTTTCAAAGTTGAACCGTATTTTGGTCCCAGTTATGGCATTTTAAGAACAAATTTAAACAGAAGTATAAAGGGGCTCTCATAATTCTGTCCACCAAAGAGTGGTAACAATTGTTCACAGCCTGAGGTTAATCCTTCCGGATTTTAAGATTTTTAAGTAATTACTGTACCTAACGTGGTGTTTCAACCCCGAGATCAAGAGTCCCACATTCCACTGACTCAGCCAGCCAGGTGCCCCTCCTTCCAGATTTTTTAAAAAAGATTATTAGAGACGCACAAGCGAGCACGGGTGAGTGAGCATGGGAGGGTAGGGCAGAGGGAGAGAGAAACTTAAGCTGACTCCATGCTCAGTGCAGAGCCCAACATGGGGCTCAATCTCACAACCCTGAGATCATGACCTGAGCCAAAAACAAGAGTTGGCCGCCTAACTGACTACTCCACCCATGCACCCACCTTCCAGATTTTTCATGTCTATTTCTCTAATGCTACTTTTTAAAAACAAAGATTGTATCACCTATAGAATGATACTATGTGTTTTGTTTTGCTCTTTCTTCATACAGGGAATACTAGATTGTGGACCACTTTCCTTACCAATGCATACATATTATCTTCCATTTTTTTGTGTCCAATTAATATTTCACATTATGGATGCTTTAGAATTTAGCCAACCTCTCTATTAATAATTAGGTTATTTGTTCATGCCTAAACATTTCCTTAGGTTAAATTTTATATATCTATAGATTATATCTGTATCTATAGATACAGGTACATACATAGATCTATATCTCCAAAGTATTAATGCACACTTTTTATTAAAGTCTGTAAGATAATGCCTTTTACCCATACTTTTATATACTAGATATTAACTCTTAAATCTTGTTAACCTGATTAAAAATATTTTTATGTTTTTGTAAAAAATTATTATTGTTGAGCATCTTTTCCAGTGTAAGTTCACTGTGCACATTTCTTCGGTTGAAAGGTACCTTTTCATTTGTCTTCCCTGTGCAGTGTTTCCATTTTTAAAAATTTATATCTAGCACCTGGTGTCTGGCACGGAGTAACCAGTCATTACTGTCCAATAACTGTATGTATTATGCAAATTTGCATCATTTTCAAGAGTATGGAGAATACTACATTGAGCCCTCCTGGAGGCAACGTCCAGCTTCAGTATTTATCAGCCTGAGGCCAATGTCAGTCATGCCATCTTTACCCACGGCCTGCCCCCCACCCTGATTGTTTTAAAGGGCATTCCGTGAAATGATTTTTTTGAGAGTTCTCTGGAATGTAGGGATTTTATTTTATTTTTTTGAGAGAGAGCACATGTGTGCGAGGGGGGTGGGCAGAGAGAGAGGGAGAGGGAGAGAATCCTAAGCGGGGTCCATGCTCAGTGCAGAGCCCAACAAAGGGCTGGATCTCAGGATCCTCAGATCATGACCTGAGCGGAAATCAAGAGTTGGCTGCTTAACCGACTGAGCCACCCAGGTGCCCCAGAATATAGGGATTTTAACTCCTTGGTCATATGGTACAAATATCTCACCCCCCCCCACCCTGTTTCCCATTTGTCTTTCAGTATATGATGGTATTTTTGTGCCCTATTGGTTTTCAACAGTCATGTTCTCCCATTGTCAGTCTCTTCCTAAAGGGTTTCTGGACTTTTCAGTATCAGAAAGGCCTCCCCTACCACAGTTCATAAAAATATAGTCAAAGAAAATATTTTAAAAATAGGTTTTTGATCTTTAGCTCATCTGGAATTCAATTTCAATCTAGAGTAGAGGGAAGGGTTACCTGCTTTTAAATGGTCGCTTGCTTGATAAAAGATTCATGTTAAAACTTTTTACAGACACAGTAAAAGTTTCCCTACTAAACTGTAAAAGCAATTTAGTATAAAAGGATAATAAAAGGCATAAGCTATGTATAAAAACTGTTGGAGGAAGAAGGCGGATCTTATCAGATGTTCTCAGTTGGTTCCATCTTCTTAGCACCTATTTTAAATCCTTGGGCCTCGGTCTTCAGGGTTGAGCCCCAAAGGCATTTGCATGTTTGCTCCTGTTACCACGTGGAATATTTCAGAACTTTCTAAAACAGGCCGCGTTTGCTCCAGATTTATCGTTCTCCTGCTATTCCGGGGCTTGTTGGTTACCTTAACCCTTCCTGGTTGGAAGGGGCGCTGTGCAGTCCTTCCCTTCAGGGAAGGGGGGAAGAGGGGGGAGGGGCGAGAGGGCGGGAGGGGAGGGGCAGGCTCGCCGGAAGGCGGCTATCTTTGTTTGCCCCTGCTGGGTGCTCACCTCCTGTGTCCTTTTGCAGGCACATCCTCATCTGCCTTGCTGCCTACCTGGGCTGTGTGTGCTTTGCCTACTTTGATGCTGCGTCCGAGATCCCCGAGCAGGGCCCTGTCATCAAGTTCTGGCCCAGCGAGAAATGGGCCTTCATCGGCGTCCCCTACGTGTCCCTCCTGTGTGCCAGCAAGAAATCACCGGTCAAGATCACGTGATGGCAAGGCAGTGGCTGGCTTCTCTGCTTGTTTTCCCTCCTGCACTGGGCTTCGCTTGCCGGCAAAGACAGCCGGTGGTTTGTAGAGTTGGGGGTAGGGTCTGTCTTCTTAGTGTTCTGTTCCCTTGAGCTCTGACTAGCGTGTCTGTGGCCCACCAGGACTGAGGAGGAGGGTCTGCCCCGTTCCCGAAGATGGAAAGTGCAGAGCTGAGGGCCACCAGGTAGATCTTCTCAGTGTCCCTTCCAGATGCAATGACTGGTTGGGCTGTATCCTTTGGGATGGCAGAGCAGTCCCTTGGGGGAGCCTCATTTCCCAGGAGGAGTTTGCTGCAGACCGCACCGTTCCCATGGGCTCTCAGAGCGGACGCTCCTGCTGACGGACTCTGACAGGCAAGACAGGCTGACTGATGGAAGATGCCAGGGATTTTCATTTGGGAAAACAGTCCTAAAATAAAAGCAAGCCAATGAAACCCACACAGGACTTGTGGCTGAGGAGGCTACTGGTCCACTCGGAGAATCTCAGTAACTGGATTTTACATGTGCTTGTGAATCCTTTCTCTACTACCTCTGCTGAGAGACGGGGACTTCAGAGGAGGGTGAAGCTGACGGAAAAACCCTCTGTGCCAAAAGCTACACTCCACTTTAAGCCATTCTTGAAGATGAGCACAATTCCTAAATGTTGACGTTGTTGCCCCCCCCCCCCCCCAGCCCAGTGGCCTCCAACACACCGAGAAGAATAGGTGTGTCTGAGCCCTCTGCACACAGACCCCGCTCCTTGCTGCTGAGCTCTGTAAGGTCAAGGCCTTGGGATGGTCCGGGTGGGGATCCTAGTTTAACATCTGGAGCCAACACGAAGTTCTGGAAACTTCTGCTGATGGGAAGCCTTCTATTCTGGAAGTCCAGTATTTCCTGTGGGAGTCGTACTCTGTAGTCTCACAGTACAAGGTGCTTCCTGCAGTTTCTCTGAGCATCTAACAACTGCTTCTTTCGAGGACCGAGGGGACTACATGCTGGCTCTTGGGGTTGCTGGTGCAGCGGGCAAATCTGTTGCCTTCGGAGTTCTTCCTCAGCTCAAATGACACTGGCTACCACTAACCTCTTCACTAGGCTGAATGAAGACTCCAGAATGGTCATCACGGTGTGTGGGGGGAATACAGGGCCTCAGGGATACTCACTGAAGCTCCGACATCTCCTGCCTTGCAGCATTCCATTGTGAAAGAGAGCAGGATGGAGGTGTCCTTGTGAGGACAGGAGTCGTGTCACCAAGGACCGAAGAGTTGGGCAGTACCAGTCAGTGGCATGTCTGGGAACTCTTGCTTTAATTAGAATTTTGTACAGGATCTAAGGTGAAAAGTCCAATAAGGAGCAATGAACCAAGAGTTTAAAAATGAATGACATTGTTCTCCTCCTGTGGTTTTCAAGTTATTTTTAGCAGAACCCTATTTACACTAAGAAATCTTGATGGAACCCAAATGTGAGAAATGTGTTATATCCGTTTATTTGAAGGTTAAACTTACCTATTTCCCTAATACCATGCAGTGAAAATGCAAGTTAAATTGTGGTTTCCATGGTAAAAAATTTGGTGTCGAAGAAGTGTACCTGTTTATTATGGTTTAAAAATATACTTTGAAAAAAGGTATTTATGTATTTGTGGGGTTCTGATGCACCTCTGAGACCTAGGTGGTTCCATCTGAGAGTTTTAAAACTGTGGTCTCTAGTTTTTGTTTTTGTTTTTTTTAAAGATTTTATTTATTTGAGAGAGAGGGAACACAAGCAGGGGGAGTGAGAGAGAGAAGCAGGCTTCCTGCTGAGCAGGGAGCCCGATGTGGGGCTCGATCCCAGGACCCTGGGATCATGACCTGAGCCGAAGGCAGACGCTTAACGACTGAGCCACCCAGGTGCCCCGGTCTCTAGAATTTTTTAAAGGGAAATAGCAGTCCTCGTTTCAGATTAGTTTTACCAGGCATGGATTCTGGGCTCATCCATTCTGCAGTATAAAAATGCTCCAAAGTAGGGGGAAGCTTTGATGTACTTCAGGCCCAGCTGTCTTAGTGTGGAAGCGTGGATGAGGAGAGGCAGGGGTGTGGGAAGTGTTTGTGTTATATGTGAGGTTTAATTTCGGTCTTGAGAGTTCCTCAGTGATGGGAACATTACAGTTAAGGAGGGACTGTGTCTCCCTATCAGGTAAAGGGGTGGGTCCCTGAGGAACATCACCTCCAGCTCTCAACTCTCTGACCTTGCTCTTCTGGAAGTTTCTGAGTGTCCTTTGGAAATCGGGATACAACATGACTGCTGGAAGTAAGGAAATCAGTGCCCCAACTCACAGAGCTGTTTCCATCCATTTTCTACAAGACAAATGACTTAGTTCAGATGTCAGAAGGGATGTTTTTGCTGTTAAAAAAACCCCCAAAAAACCCCTCCCCCCCAAAACAGAAGGCCCTTCTAGAGATTGGTTTTAATGAGCTGAGGGCTGATAAAGAAGTATGGAATGGGTATATTTGAGGACAAAAACAGAACTCTTGAACAAAAATCACTCTAGCTTGATAGCGTGAAGATGGTAAATCGAGAAAGTAGGAGTTGAACAGTCTTATTTGAAGTTAGACTTATAGCATATTTATATTTACATTTATATTTATGATGCTTTTCTAGCACTAAACACTCTTGAAAGAAAATTAGAAAACTACAGGAAAGTTGAAGAGAAAAAAAGTCTGTATTTCTATTGTCCAAGGACAATCATTAATATTTTGGTATTTTGGTGTATTTTCTTCTCATCTTCCCCCTTTCTCCCACCGTAGAGTTGTAAATAGCGGTCTTTTAGAGTGGACAGTTCATCCGATAGCTTGAATGGAATTTAAATGCCAGTTGTGTATTTTTCAGGAGGAGCAGCTTTTGGGATATACACCGGTTAGCTATACACTTGAGAGCTCATCACTGGATTCTGACTTACTGCTGAGTCTTCTTTTTAAATTGAGCCTGACATGAATGGGTCCTAAGAAATAATGAACTGAATTCTACTTTTCGAGAGGCCTCTGCTCTTGGATTGACAGGTCATGGGAAACCGCTGTTAAAAATAGGGCTCCACAGGTTTTTGGATTTAAAAAAAGTGACTAGATTAATTGATGTGCAATCAAGAATCTTTGTTTTTTCCCCTAATAATGCAGGGACATGGAGATTTGATGTTTGGGAATTAGTCACAGTGAGTAGCTGCCATGACCTATCACAGTTTTGTTCTGCTTAGATAGAATTTGCAAGATCAAGAACTGGCAGGAATTGGATCTAAGATATTAAACATTATCATCCTAGTTACCAAACAATCATTTAAGTCAGTGATTCTTATTTTACAGTGTTTAATTGAATCTTGATTTTTAGAAAAAAATCTTTTCTCTTTATGATTATGATTATATTGTTAGCACTTCAGTGAATATATTTAAGGTGTATGGGGAAAAGATACCTGACTCTATTTGGTAACAGGCTACATTTTGGGGGAAACTAGCCCTGTCCTTCGGATGAGTGCCTAAAATGTTATTTCTGGACCCAAGATGTTCTGTTGGGGGATCTAAGCTTGATGGTCATCAAGCACAGACTTTCTGAAAAATACCGTAACTTGTTCTTTTTATTGGATTTCTCAGGTGTTTTAAAACTTCTCACCAGTTCGTCACGCTTATGTGAGCCAGCACAATGTTGGAGGCTCTGAGAATGGGATGGAGTCTCCTTGGCTCTTCATCCCTGGGGGCTGACACGCAACCATCTCTGGGGGGCGGGGGAGGGCTGAAGCTTGTCCAATGAGCCCCCCCTCTCCTAGCTCCTTTTCCCCAAATGAGCTTGGAACCTTTCATTGCCAGCTCTTTGCCTGGGTGCTACCATTCCAGCTGGCTAAAGAGAATTGGCAGGCCAGATTGGGGTTCTCAATGGATTTTAAGGACATTCTCCTACAGATTAAAAAAAAAAAAAAAGACTAATTGTTTGGTTTCTTTCTCTCTGTTAAACCAGATTGAAGACTATTTTATAATCACAGTATGTAATCAGAGCATATATAATATTTTCAGATATCTCTCGTTTTGTACTTTATACAGTTGTGTGGTATAAGGGTGTTGTGCTCACTGGTTGTGGTAGCATTTAGTCTCCATTGCTTTGGGAGTGATTTGAAACCTTTTGAAATGGAGCTTTTGCACTTTATGCTATTTTTGTGAGCTGTGACGGTTATATTCGATATTAAAGCCAGCTGTAAGTGGCATTTTCTGTGAATATGTAATGTTTGTGTTTCTTTCCAAAATGATTTCTGAAATATCTGAAAATGAAAAATGCAGTTAATGGATTGTCAAGCAAAGCACATTTCCCCAAGTTAGTTAATGAATTTGGGTATCGTCATTACTAAACATACTTTCGATTAGCGTAATTGTTTTTTCTCAGAGCTTTGAAATTAACATGCCTAGTATTTCCGGTATGAAGTGCCCAAATGCGTAGTGAATTTCTTTAGCAGGAAAATTCTGTATGTACCTGTTTTTAATTCCCTATGACCATTTTTTTATTATTAAAGATTTCATGGGCCATATTTAAAAGAACAGTGTGACCGTCAGAAGAGAGACTGGGTCAGCATTATCAGCATCATTACAGTGGGTTTTTTAGACTTTTTTTCCTGGCCTGGGTGAAGGGATAAGGGGATAAGGAGTGGCCACATAGACTTTTGACAATCTGGTGGGATAGGAGTCTTCTCCCTAGGAAAATGACTAACCCTATAATCTTCTGGGAATTCAGGTGTCCCTAGAAGCCACCCAAATAAAGAGCTCCTGCAGGACAGGTCACTAGACCAGGATTCAAATCCTCCTTGGGGCTGAAATTGGTCACCTCCACAGGTCTGCTTTCCCAACTGGCCTCTAAAACCAGTGGTCTGCCCCTCCTCTAAGTCAGGACTTCCCATTATGAGGGGCTGGAGGGGGAGACCCAGGACGCTGGGAATGCAAAATTTAAGTGTCCTCAACAAACTGGGAGCTTACATTTGCCTTAAGCCTCTTCCTTGGTTTATAGTATCAGACCCTCCATATGATTGTATCAGGGTCTGTCCTATTATTCTAGCTTTTGTATTGAATTTTTCCATAATAAAAAATTTAAGAGGTAGAACATTTGGGGTTTTTGTCCTTCATTCTCTGGGGTGGGGCTCAGCCTCCTTCCTGCCCCAACTTAAGGGCACTGGCAGCCTCTCTCCCCAGCTAAGGATTTGTCTTAACCTTAAGTGAGCACTTTTGTTTTTATCTCCAGGCCTGGTGGGTGACACCCCACTTACCTGGCAAGTCTTTCTGGATGGTAACTCACAAAAAGGGAAAGATCAACCTCAAGTGTTTTGGGTTGGTTTATTTTATATTTCTTATTAAAACAAAACATTTGATTCAGCTGCTTTTACAACAGAGTGGAGACCATATCCACTATCTTAAAAATTTAACAAATAGCAAAAAAATAAAAATAACAAATAGCAATAAAAATCAGTAGTTTTTGCATTAAGGCTAGTCACAGGAAAGTGGCTTATGGGAAGGCCAGGAGCATGAAGAGACACAAAATAGACGGTGATAATTGGTGACATTTGCTAGGGAAGGAGGTCTGAACAAAGAAAGCCATAGCTACTGGGTGGAAAGGACCGGGAGCGACTCATGGAGTGATATCGCCATCTTGTGGCCCTTTCAGGTATTCCTCTCAGTGGTGCACTTGGAGACGTTCCCAATTGCGAATCACCACAGAACTCAATATAATTATCTCAAAACTCCCACAAGTCACACAGCTTCTTTCTGTGTCCAAGTAGGTGTTCCTGCTTTTTTGCCCCCAAGCATCACTCTGCTTTTTCCCCCCTCCTCACTTCCCCCAGCAACTCCTTCTTCACCCTCTAGGTGTTTGATCTCAGAATTCTAAAAATCGGCCGGATGCCATAAAGCAAATGTTTTCCTGCACATAAAACTGAGTTAACATAATTGTGATCTAGAGGAAGTTTTTTTTTAATCCACTGAAGTTTAAGTTTTGGGATTAATCGTTCCGTTTACACAAGTCAAATGCCAGTACAACCCCAAAAATCTTTAAGACTGAATCCAGTTTGAACCAACTTGGCAAATAAATGCCAGCTTTGTACTACACGTGCTAGCTGCAGAGGGCTATATGATGAACAACGCAATGTGCCCTGTGCAGGAGGGGAGAAACCACCAATTGCTGAAATCCGCGCATGCAAGCCGCATCAACAGTGCTGGGAAGGCAGGCAGGAGTGGTAACATCGGGCCCGTGGGGCGTTGCTTTGAGACTTCTAAGCTTTAACTGATGGACCGTGAGCCATATTTAATAATATATAATCTCAGACCAATGAAAGAATGTGTATATTGCCTAGGAGTAGTGTTTTCTTAAAGTAAACCCTATTTGAGAGCTCAGCACGTAAGTTAGCTTTCACACAAAATGGTCTTGTTTAGTCCTCACGACTTTTTGTGAAGCCAGAATTACTATTATTCCAGGTTTGAGGACCATAAAACCGAGGCTCAGAAAGGTATTTTGATCACAGCCATTAGGTGGCAGAGTCAAGATTTAGACGCAAGACTTTCAACTCTTCTGTTTCTACAAAGGATTTTAAAATTATTATTTTTAAATTCAATTGATTAACATACAATGTATTATTAGTTTCAGAGGTAGAGTTCAGGGATTCATCAGTCTATATAACACCCAGTGCTCATTACATCACATGCCCTCCTTAATGTCCATCACCCAGTTACCCCAGCCCCCCACCTCCCTCCCCTCCAGCAACCCTCAATTTGTTTCCTTTGATAAGAGTCTCTTATGGTTTGTCTCCTGCTCTGATTTCATCTTGTTTTATTTTTTCCTCTCTTCCCCTATGATCCTGTTTCTTAAATTACACATATCAGTGAGATCATATAATTCTTTCTGATTATTTTCTTAGAATAGTTCCATCCATGTCGTTGCAAATGGCAAGATTTTTTTTTTAATGGCTGCATAGTATTCCATTGTATATATACATCACATCTTCTTTATCCTTTCATCTGTCGATGGACATCTGGGCTCTTTCCATAGTTTGGAAATTGTGGACACTGCTGCTTTAAACATTGGGGTGCAGGTGCCCCTTCGGATCCCTACCTTTGTATCTACCCAGTAGTGCAATTGCTGGGTCTTAGGGTAGCTCTATTTTCAACTATTTGAGGAACCTCCATACTGTTTTCCAGAGTGGCTGCACCAGCTTGCATTCCCACCAACAGTGTAGGAGGGTTCCCCTTTCTCCGCATCCTCGCCAACATCTGTCATTTCCTGACTTGTTAATTTTAGTCATTCTGACTGGTGTGAGGTAGTATCTCATTGTGGTTTTGATTTATATTTCCCTGATGCTGAGTGGTGTTGAACATATTTTCATGTGTCTGTTGACCATTTGTACGTCTTTGGAGAAATGTCTGTCATGTCTTTTGCCCATTTCTTGATTGGATTACTTGTTCTTTGGGTGTTGAGTTTGATAAGTTCTTTATAGACTTTGGATACCAGCCCTTTATCTGGTAATGTCATTTGCAAATATCTTTTCCCATTCTGTCGGTTTTATTGACTGTTTCCTTTGCTGTGCAAAACCTTTTTTTTTTTTTTAAATCTTTTTAAAGATTTTTATTTATTAGAGAGAGCACAAGCAGGGGGAGCAGCAGAGGGAGAGGGAGAAGCAGGCTCCCCACTGAGCAGGGAGCCCGATGCGGGGCTCGATCCCAGGACCCTGGGATCATGACCTGAGCTGAAGGCAGACGCTTAACGACGAAGCCACCCAGGCGTCCCTGTGCAAAACCTTTTTATCGTGATAAAGTCCCAGTAGTTCATTTTGCCTTTGTGTCCCTTGCCTTTGGAGACGTGTCTCCAAACAGCCAGAAGTTGCTGTGGCTGAGGTCCAAGAGGTTGCTGCCTGTATTCTCCTCAAGGATTTTGATGGATTCCTGTCTCACATTCAGGTCTTTCAACTACAAAGGATTTATTTTCAAAATGGCAAAAGAGGTCAAAGATTTTCATATGGGTGGGCACCAAGTTGGGAATATCAGGTTCAAAACTGTCCTGTTAATACACAGGATTAGATAAAATACAAAGTAGCAAGGGGCAGAGAGAAGGTGCTTAGCGAGTGGCAGCTGGTAAGATGACCTCCCACCAGACAGTCATGGAAGTCAGTGAGGCCATAGTGAAGAGCTGCACCCCATCCCCCACACTTCGCAGGGGTGACAGTGTGTGTACACATGGGAATCCTCCTAATCCTGGTTCCACAGTCCAAGCTGTCTCTTTCCATAGTGACAGATCTGCAAATCCAAGTCTTTCCTGGCCATCTCTGGACATCCACTAGGCACTTCACATTTGCCTTCACTCATGCCTCAAACTTGCGCCTTGCACACTTTCTCATTACGCCATGTACTTTCCATTCATTTGCCAGGGAAATCCCTGCCTTCCCACTGTTGTCCATATCTAACCTAAAAGTAAGAGAAGCCTCTGCATTCCACTTCCCCAGTGTCTTAAAATCCATCCATTTTTCTCCAGCCCAGTGAAGCAGCTACTATCTCTTGCCAATTCATCCTCCATCTGGAGCCACAGCCTTTTTTTTTTTTAAGAGGTGGTGGTGGGTGGGGGGCGGGGGAGATGAGTGGAGGAAGGGGCAGAGAGAAGGGGAGTGAATCTCCAGGAGACAGTTTGCTGAGTGCCGAGCCTGATGCAGGGCTCGACCTCAAGACCCTGAGATCATGATCTGAGCCAAAGCCAAGAGTTGGCCACTTAACCAAATGTACCACCCAGGCCCCCCTCTCCCCACCCCAGTCATCTTTCTGAAGAAAAATCTGACCAGGTCAATTCACTGCTCAAAGCCCACCAATTCTTCTCCATCACTCTGAAAGCAAAGCAAACTTAATCTTTAAAAAAAATTTGGGGGGGGGGCAGAGGGAGGGAGAGGGAGAGAGAGAGAGAAAATCCCAAGCAGACTCTGCGCTGAGTGCAGAGCCTGATGTGGGGCTTGACCCCAAACCCTGAGATCGTGACCTGAGCCAAAATCAAGAGTTGGATGCTCAACTGACTGAGCCACCCAGGAGTGCCCCAAAGCATACTTTCTTTGAGGGCCTTAACGTGATTTAGAATGTCCTTCACCATCTGGTCCTTGCCTTCTTTTCCAGCCTTGTTCTGAGCTGCTCTCCTCTTGGACCCTTCACTTGAGTGAAGACATTGGCGTAGCTCTACATGGTCTTTCACATGGCCTGCGGGCCTTG